GTGTATGGTTGCTCATATGTTCTTATAGTTTTTTGTACTTCTTTGGTGTTGGTTGCGATCTCTCCTCTTTCATTCATGATTTTATTAAGTTGGGTCTTTTATCTTTTCTTTTTGATAAGTCTGACCAGGAGTTTATCAATCTTATTAATTCAAGAATCATCTCCTAGTTTCATTGATTTGTTCTACTGTTCTTTTGAGTGCTATTTCATTGATTTCTACTCTGATCTTTATTATTTCTTTTCTCCAGCTGGGTTTAGGCTTTCTTTGCTGTTCTTTCTCCAGCTGCTTTAGGAGGTTTAGGTTGTGTTTAGGTTTAGGTTGTGTACTTGTAGGTTTAGGTTGTGTACTTGAGACCTTTCCTGTTTCTTCAGAAAGGCTTGTGCTGCTATATACTTTCCTCTTGGGACTGCCTTTGCTGTGTCCAAAGATTTTGAACACTTGTGTTTTCATTTCCATTTGTTTCCATGAATTTTTAAAATTCTTAATTTCCTGTTTGACCCATTCATTCTTTAGTAGGATGCTCTTTAGCCTCCATGTATTTGAGTTCTTTCCAATTTTCCTCTTGTGGTTGAGTTCTAGTTTCAAAGCATTGTGGTCTGAAAATATGCAGGGAATGATCCCAATCTTTTGGTGCTGGTTGAGACCTGGTTTGTGACCCAGGATGTGATCTATTCTGTAGAATGTTACATGTGCACTAGAGAAGAATGTGTATTTTGTTGCCTTGAGATGGAATGTTCTAAATATATCTGTGATGTCCATCTGGTCCAGTGTGTCATTTAAAGCCTTTATTTCCTTGATGATCTTTTACTTAGATGATCTGTCCATTTCAGTGAGTGGGCTGTTAAAATCTCCTACTATTATTGTATTATTGTCAATGTATTTCTTTGATTTTGTTATTAATTGGTTTATATAATTGGCTGCTCCCATGTTAGGGGCATAAATATTTAAAATTCTTAGATCTTCTTTTTGGACAGATCTTTTAAGTATGATATAGTGTCCTTCCTCATCTCTTATTACAGTCTTTGGCTTAAAATCTAATTTATCTGGTATAAGGATTGCCACTCCAGCTTTCTTTTGGTGTCCATTAGCATGGTAAATTGTTTTCCACCCTCTCACTTTAAGTCCAGAGGTGTCATTGGGTCTAAAATGAGTTTCTTGCAGACAACATATTGATGGGTCTTGGTTTTTTATCCATTCTGACACCCTGTGTTTATTGATATGGGCATTTAGCCCTTTTACACTCAGGGTAACTACAGAAAGATATTAATTCAGTGCTATTGTATTGCCTGTAAGGTGACGGTTACTGTATATTGTCTCTGTGTCTTTCTGGTTCGTGTTAATTTTAGGCTCTCTCTTTGCTTAGAGGAACCCTTTCAATATTTCCTGTAGAGCTGGTATGGTGTCTTCAAATTCTTTTAGTTTTTGTTTGTCCTAGAAGCTTTTTATCTCTCCTTCTATTTTCAATGACAGCCTAGCTGGATATAGTATTGTTGGCTGCATATTTTTCTTGGTCAGTTCTCTGAATATATCATGCCAGTCCTTTCTGGCCTGCCAGTCTCTGTGTATAGGTCTGCTGGCAACCTAATAGTTCTACCACTGTATGTTACAGACCTCTTGTCATAAGCTGCTTTCAGGATTTTCTCTTTGTCATTGAGACTTGTAAGTTTTACTATTAGATGATGGGGTGTGGACCTATTTTTATTGATTCTGAGGTGGCCTCTCTGTGCCTCCTGGATTTTGATGCCTGTTCCCTTTACCAAATTAGGGAAGTTCTCTACTATAATTTGCTCCAGTATACCTTCTGCCCCTCTCTCTCTTTCTTTTTCTTCTGGGATCCCAATTATTCTAATATTGTTTCATCTTATGGTATCACTTATCTCTCAAATTCTCCTCTTGTGGTTCACTAGTTGTTTGTCTCTCTTTTTCTCAGCTTCTTTATTTTCCATCATTTAGTCTTCTATATCACTAATTTTCTTCTACCTCATTTATCCTAGCAGTAAGAGCCTTCATTTTTTATTGCACCTCATTAATAACTTTTTGACTTCAACTTTGTTATATTTTAGATCTTTTATTTCTCCAGAAAGGGTTTTTATTTCTCCAAAAAGAGAGTCTCTAGTATCTCTCATGTTTTATTTGAGCCCAACTAGCACCTTGATAATCATCATTCTGAACTCTAGTTCTGACATATTACTAATGTCCATATTGGTTAGATCCCTAGCCATTGGTACTGCCTCGTGTTCTTTTTTTTTTTTTTTTGGATGTGAGTTTTTCTGCCTTGTCATTTTATCCAGATAAGAATAGATGAATGAGAGAACAAAATACTAGAAGGATAGCAATGACCCCAGAAAAATATACGCTAATCAAATCAGAAGAGACCCAAAACTGGGGGAGAAGAAAAGAGAAAAAAAAAAAAAGAAAGAAAAAATATATTTATATTAGACTGGTGAATAGAACAGAGCCACACACTTGGTTTTGGGTGTATTTTGGCCTGTTAGAGGAAACTGCCTCCCAAAATTTTAAAGAAAGAAAAAAATTTTAAAGAAAGAAAAAAATGTATATTATATATACATACAAAAATAAGGGCAAACATGATGAAGGGTTGGGATATGACTGTAAAGATGTAAACTAAAAAAGAGTCTAAAAAAGGAATTGATAATATAAGAAGTTGGTTGAAAGAAGAAAAAAAAAGAGAAAAGAATGTGATCAGGCTGGAGACTAGAACAAAGTCAATCACTAGATTTGGGGTATATTTTGATCTATTAGAAGAAACTATATCCCAAAATTTTAAAGGAAGAAAAACCTATATGTATACCCCAAAAAAAAGTGTCAAATAAAATGAAGGGATAGAATATGAATATAACAATGAAAATTTAAAAAGATTTTTTAAAAAGGTATTGATAAGGGGCGCCTGGGTGGCTCAGTGGGTTAAGCCTCTGGCTTCAACTCAGGTCATGATCTCAGGGTCCTGGGATTGAGCACCACATAGGGCTCTCTGCTCAGTGGGGAGCCTTCTTCCCCCTCTTTCTCTGCCTGCCTCTCTGCCTACTTGTGATCTCTCTCTCTCTGTGTCAAATAAATAAATAAAATATTTTTTTAAAAAGGTATTGATAAGATAAAATCCCTAAAAATTATTAAAATAGGAAAGAGGAAAACCTAAAAAAGTAGAATAAGAAAAAAATAAAATTAAAAAAATTTAACTTTGAAAGACTAAAGAATCATGGGGGGAAAGCCATGAATTCCTGTAACTGTGAAGTTTTACAGTTCTCTTTGATCAGTGAACTTGGACTTGGCTGGATGTTCTTGTTGATCTTCTGGGGGAGGGGCCTGTTGCTATGATTCTCAAATGTCTTTGCTGGAGGCAGAATTGCACCACCCTTGCCAGGGGCCAGGTTAAATGGCCTGATTCGGAGAGCAAATCTGCTTGGGTTCGCTTCCAGTAGCTTTTGTTCTCTGAATGCTTTCTGTATAGCTTTGGAGGTGGAGAACAAAGATGGCAGCCTTCAATCTCCTGCCCCATAGGAGCTGAGAGCTCGGGGCCCCACTCCTCAGTGCACCCTCAGAGAAAAGCAGTTAATCCCTCCCGTCTCCCTGGTCTCCAGCCGCACTCTGAGCTCACCTGGCCTGTGACCGAGCATTTCTATCTCTGGCGCACGGCCTGGTTTGGAGTCTCCAAACTCAGCAGATTCTGCCACGCTCCCCTGCCGCTCCTCCTGGAGGAGGAAGGAGGGGGTCTCCCCAGATCTGCCATTTCTGGGGTCCCTGCTTGAAGAGCCATGACCGGACTGTGACTTGGATTACAGTTTAAATTAATCCCGAGCTGAGAGCCCCTCCTTAGCTCTGTCTGTGCAGCCAGCTTCCCTGCCTGATACCTGGGAGCTCTGCCACACGCAGGCTCCTCCATTCTTTCTGTGACCCCGAGAGACCTGGGACCACATTGTCCCTGTGAGGGCTCCATCCCCTGCTTAGCCTCTGGAGTGATGTCCCTCAGTGGAGCCAACTTCTAAAAGCTCCAATTTTGTGCTTCACTGCTTTACCGCTTGCTGGGAGCCAGGCCCTCCCCTCATAGTCTCTCTTCCCATATATCACCTCGGGTTCACTTCTCCGCACATCCTACCTTCTGGAAAGTGGTTGATTTTCTGTTCCTAGAATTGCTGCTTTTCTTCTCTTCAGGCTCCTGTTGAGTTTGTAGGTGTTCAGAATGGTTTGATAACTATCTAGCTGAACTCCTGGGACCCAACAATATTTAAGTCTCCTACTCCTCTGCCAGCTTGCTCTGGTCTCTAAAAAATGATTTTCATGATTTGCATGTCCTCTTGTTTTGGGATGCACCTAAGGGTGCACCCAAGGGTGCATCCAACCATCACTTGTTTTGCTGTTATCTAATGTGGGGTCCCTAAACACAGTCCAGTCTTGGCTGGAACTGACCAGGGTGGAGTGGGACCTCCTGGGAGCATACAGACTGAGAGACAAAAAGTTCATGCTGATTAGGACTCCATTTCAAAAATAGGTGTTCGGGGCGCCTGGGTGGCTCAGTTGGTTAAGCCACTGCCTTCGGCTCAGGTCATGATCCTAGAGTCCCTGGATCGAGTCCCGCATCGGGCTCCCTGCTTGGCAGAGAGTCTGCTTCTCCCTCTGACCCTCCCCCTTCTCATGCTCTCTCTCTCTCTCTCTCATTCTCTCTCCCTCAAATAAATAAATAAAAATAAAATCTTTAAAAAAACAAAAACAAAAACAAAAAAAAACAAAAATAGATGTCCTAGGAGCCCCACTCTCTCATGAGGAAAGAGTGGTAGGGTCAGCACACTGAACTCCAACTCACAGTCCTATTAATGTCTTAAAACAGGCATTCCAGAGACCTTTGACTATTACGCATTGTAATATGAGATTCGTAAATTGGAAAAATTAAGATTTCCACTCCTTCTGCATCTTCTCCCCCAACAACCTAGTGAAGAGTTTCTCCCTATGCTGTCTATAAATAGATTTATTTTTTTCCTTTCCAGAATATTGAACAAATACAACAACTTTTCATGAAAATAGACTATGCATCAGTGGGCAGAATTCAATGGGTAAATTGGGTTATGTTTTGTGAATCAAATTTGGGATTAGTAAGGAAAACACATAGAATGTTAGCTCTGAGCCTGTTCCTTTCTGGAGTATGCTCTGACCTTCAGTGCTTTGTCAACTTGAAACTGAACCAAGGGGATATGCATGTTCACAGTTTTCAAATTTTGTAATGTCAGATTATTCTTGGAATAGTTTAACTAGGGATTTCAGTAGCTAAGGCAAGTTCCAAGAAGGGTTTCCTAAAACTAAGAAGTAAAGGATACACTTGTCATCTTACCCCAGAGCAAACATGAAACACCAGTGAGCAAGAAATTCTATGAGCAAAAAACACCTGATGATAACCAGATCAGTTAACACATGTAAAGTATTTAGAACAGGGACAGCCACAAAGTAAATTCTCAACAGATATCATCATCATTATTAATAATCCCCAATTTGAGTTGTGTAATAATGAGCTGAGACATAGGCTTTAAACATTCTCTGCCATAGTGTCTGTCAGTGCCCTTCTACTGTCCCAGGATGAATTAATTTCTAAAATGACAACTTGAACAGTAAGATACCTCTATTCAGACCTTGGGTCAATTCCCCAGCAAAATCAAATGGAAGCATTTACATTATCATCTGACTTGAATAGGAAGTCAGGATTCCAGAGAAGAGAAGGGGAGGCTCTAATGGAATGAGGCTTTGGGGAAGTGTAGAGAAAAGAAATGTTGCAGACCCTACAGTATCCCCACCCCTTCCCTCTGACCACAGACTTCTTTTCCCTAGGTGTACTGCTGAGATTCTAAATGAGGCATATACTGGTGGGTGGGAACTGTGCGGTCAGACTGATAAGGACTTCAGTCTCTGGCCAGCCACTTACTAGTTGTTCGATCTTAGGCAAGCTATTTAACCTTTCAAAGCTGGGGTTTCCAGATATGTAAAAGAGAAGAACAATAGTGTCTATGTCATACAGTTATCATGAGAATTGAAGGGAAGGTCTATGTTGCATGGAACGTAGTGTACTGTCAATCACAACTGCCACCGCTATCATCATCATCATCACCATCATCTTCAGCACCATCACCACCACCACCATCTCCTTTAGAGAGAGAGACCCTGGGAGTGGGGAAGGGAGCCCAAGTGGGTAACAGACTTCCAACCCCAGCTGAATGGGCACATCCCAGTTATTACCCTTACATTTTTGGCATACTGATGAGCTGGTGAGTACTAATAATTATGGCATGTCGAGGGGTGGAGTTACCCATACTCTGATGGTAAAGAGAAATTTTGAAACAAAGGAACATAGTAGATGTTTAATGAATTTTCCTTTATCCTCTAGGATGGCTTGTGCACGTATCTGCAGCTAGAGTATTCAGAGCAAGCGGATGCTTTGGCCCAACAGAAAGAGGTTTCCTTCCAGCTGCCTGCTGTGCTGCAAGGGCTGTCATATGGGGGTCCCGTGCTGTGCATTCTCTCTATGCCTGACGACACCTTAATCATGATCAGAGAAGATGGAGCGATTTATTTCTGGTCCCTGCAGCTGAAGTTGAAAAGAAGAAAGAGAGTTTTTGTATGTGATTTTCATTTGATAAGGATGCTGAGTGCTCCAGTTTGATTTTATTTGCTATTTTAAACTGCTCTTCAAGTGGCATGATTACAGAAATTGTGTCCTTGAATGTAATATATTCATGTTGGCTTTTGCTCGTCTATAGAATGCAAATAAAATGTGATCTCTATATGTAGTACCAGATAATGCTTCATTTTGCTTCTAAAATCAGATGGAGTAATGAATTACACGACTCCATCATGTAATTTATCATATGTCTTAATGAATGACAAATGGAAAGGAATTTTTTATTGTTTTTTTCCTGTTAATGATTATTTCAGTTTAGGCAGCTATGCTAGGGTTTGGCTTCTTATTGAATCACAGAATCAGAAATTCAGAAGGCAGAAGACATTTGGGAAGTAGACTTAGGATAGGAATAAAAATGCCTGACCTATTTCACAATATAGCCTATCTTTGAAATCATTTCTTTTTTTATTATATCATTCAACAATATTTGAGCCCCTGACATAGCCTAGGCTCTCTGCTGGGTACTGAGGATATAGAAGCCCATCTCAGCCCTCCGGAAACTTATCATCTACACTAGAAGTTACAGCTATCCTAAACCTCTCAGGGTGCCAAAATAAGCCCTCCCTAGAGAGAGGAAATAAAGGGGGCTCTTCGAGTCTATGTAGCAAGTTCTTTATACTTGAAGGAGAACATCAATTTTTTTAAAAACCTATAATTTTAAGCATGCCTACTGTCAAACTGTCTTATCATTAAAAGACATATTTTTGTTTATTTCCACTCTTGAACACATTAGGACAAGTCCACAAGTCGGAAGCACAGGTAGGTGACGGATGTCATCAGCATGCCACAGTACAACAAGCTGCTCATAGGGACTGGGTGAGTGTCTGCAGCTCTTCAATTAGAAGTAAACAATCGTTATGTTATGAAATTCATTGCCATGTGTGAGTTTACACAGACACATACACATCTGTGGTATTTAAAGGTCATGAAGCCCTTTTTAAAACATGTTAGAACTCATAATATCAGTCAAAGCTACTTTGCAAAGTTAAGGCCTTGTTTGGCCCATTGCAGTGATGTCATTGTCTCCAACACCAAAAGAGGCCTTCTTTTGGAATAATTCCAGAGTGACAGTTTGGGCCAGATGGGGGAAAAAATCAGTCTTGTGACCTCTTAGCACATTTTATTTTATATTCAAAATAATGTTCCTATTTTATTATTTACCAAAATTCAGTCCAAAGTGCTTTGGACTCATTCAAAAAATAAAATCTACTGTAAAAAGATAATGCTCACTGCTGAAGATCCTAAAGGTTTTGATCATGACAACAGGAGGAAAATGAACAGGCACCATCCCAGGCTGCTTGGTTAACCTCAGTAATGGGCCACAGAGAAGGGCGTGTGGCTTGGTGAGGAAGGAAATTTGGAAAATTTCAAATCAAGCGTAGAGCAAAAAGTTCAGCACAAGGGAATGGTGTGGAGGCAGGGGTGTGAACTGCAGTCCAGGGTTGGGAGACTGAGGAGTCAAGCTGCTAAACACAGGGCTCTCCGGGCATGGGTAAGGGAAGGTGCAGAGCTTGAGGGGGATTCCCGCAGCCCTGCCTACTGGGCTTCTCCTGACTCCCCCTCCCAATCTAGGGGTTTCTCTTTTCTATCTAGTCTCCTCCAGTGGCCCCTGGTTCTCTAGTCTTCAACCACTTTAATGAACCAACAGTTACTCCAACCTCAGATAATAGAAGCTATTAAATACAATCGAATTTAATGTTAAATCTAATAATTAAAATACATTTCTTAATATATTAAAATGTATCAATATAATTAATACTAACTACTGAAAAGCAACACACCTGGGTGTGTGCATTCAGCCCAGTTTTGTTTTAAAAGCCGTGCCCAATAATTTAATTATCATGTCTTTTGTGCACACAGCAGTTCAGTGATTGCTCAGGAACCTACTAGAGACTCTCTGAGCTGACAAATCAGAAGATGAGGCAAGGCTTATGACACCTGGAGGCAGGGAACCACTAGAGCTACATGCAGGTGAAAAGAGGTGGGAAAAAAAGACATTTCACACTGAGGGAAAGGCAAGACTTTGGAATTTAGAGAGTGACCTCCATTTGTTCTATGCCAACAGGTCAAAGCAGTGAGTTGTGTTTCTCATACCCACAAATTTGTTCTTCTTTCAATCAGCTGCAAGGTGGACAAGCTAACACAGGAGGGAAGGGGTCAAGAGTGCAGGCTGGAAACCTGGGAAATTAGCGGAGCACTGAGTTAACCCCTTAGTTTCTAGAAAGAGGTCTCTGCCCTCCACTTGGCAGATCTAACCATCTTTAGTATCTGCAATAAACAACAGCTCACATTTGTGAGCCCAGTCCCAAGTCCTGGACTAATCACTTTCTCATGTGTCCTTTCAATCCTTGTAACCTTCCTGAAAGACAGGAGATCCCCATTTTACAAATGAGGGGACTAAATGGTGAGCTGGGATCTGATGACCCAACTACTGGCATCCAGAGCTCATATTGCTGGAAGCTGTGCCAGCCTCCTGATGGAGAAGGATAGGCCAGACTGATTTAGAACCAGGCAGAAGAGATGTCCCCAAATGGTAGAACGGGGGAGGGAGACCTCAGGTTCAGCCAGAGAGGTTGCTCAGTAGGGCAGGTGTTTCACTGGCCCGATGTCTCTGCTTTGTGGAATCCGTGAAATAGAAAAACTGTTCTACAAAAGTGAAGTGGGGAATTTAATTTACTCCAATGGTACTTGATCTGTGAACAGAAACCATGAAATCCAGCTGTATGAACTCTCCAACCTGGAGCCTTACTGTCAGATTGGTGGCCTGGAAGCTGTTCCTCTGAAACTGGATTACTGGTAAGAGCATCTCCAGGGCCAGGCAGGCCTGACAGGGCACTCTCCCCTGGCCAGTGGGGGCTTCTCTCCTCTCTCTCCTTGGACAGTTCCATTCATGTTCAATCAGTAAATGTCAGGGCTTCCATGCAGCCTGTCTCCTCCGTGTTACGCATCACAGTACTACCCAGAAAGGAGGGACCTTTCCTACATCTAGTCAGGAAAGGGAAGCCCAGAGAGGTGAAATGATTTTTAGAGTCATATAATTATGAATTCATCTGTTTTAAATGTGGCTGGATTAATTTTCCTGAAACTCAACTTTGACCATACTACTCTGCTCTCTAATGGTTGCTACTTCCCTCTCCAAAAACATCCATACCTTCAGAGAGCATCCAAACTCCCCTCTGCCTTTTCAGCTTTCATCCCCTCTGAGCCTTCAGGTCTCCCAAGCACCAGCATAGTTAAACCGAGGCCTTCAACTTGGGCCAGGCATTGTCACCACCACAGTATTCCCAGGGCTGCCCCCTTCCTCAACCATCCATGCCACCATGTTTCTTGAGTACCTACTGTGCACCCTTATTGTTGGATGTGGGACACAGGCATGAATGATACAAGATTCTTAGGGGCTATCCCAGTATCAAAGAATGGGTGGTTCCTGCTGAAATCCTACCATTCTTCATGAGCCAAACCTCCGTGGATTCCCCTGAATCTCTTCCATACCCAAAAGCTGACATCTCCTAGAAGTCTCCCCAACCTTTGGCATTGATGGTCCTGCATGTCACGGGGCACAGGTCCTGAGTAACTCTCAGGCAGTACCAGTGCCTTAGTCATTGTTGTGTGTTCTCTGACACCTACATACTGACTGGCAGGCTCACAGCAGGCTCGCAAGAAATGTTTGTTGAATGACCAAGACAGAAAACTCTCATGTAAGTTGACAAAAGGAGGCTCCGGTTTTATTTTGCCTTTCCTTCCCTGCTCTTCCTTTTCCTTCTGTGTGTGTGGTGTGTGTGTGTGTGTGTGTGTGCGTGTGTGTGTGTGAAGGGCTAGGGATTCAGGAATTGAACGTACAGGACACCTAGCCCAAGAGGAGTACTGTCTGGTGGATATGAATGTGTTGGTCTGCTTGGGCCACCATAACAAAATATTATAGACTGTGTGGCTTCGACAACAGAACTAATTATCTCACAGTTCTAGAGGATGGGAAGCCCAAGATCAAGGTGTGGGCCTGTTCTGTTTCTGGTGAAATCTCTCTTTCTGGCTCACAGATGTCCACCTTCTCACTATGTCCTCAGGTGACCTACCAGTGATACGTATACATGGAGAGAGGGAGCATGCGCAATGTCTGGTGTCTCTTCTTACAAAAACACCAATCTTATCATGAGAATCCTCCCTTTACAACTTTATCTACCCTAATTACCTCCCAAAGGCCCCATCCCCAAATATCATCACCTTGGAATTAGGGATCCACATAATGAATTCTGGGGGACACAAATATGCAGTCCGTAACAGTGAATATTTACTGACATGGGTAGTGCTCTCTAATCATGTTATCTGTTCCTTGCTGAGGTGTCTTCTGGGTTGTCCACTCACCAGTCCCATCAACTAATGGGGTTGTCTGTTGATGATGTCATTCTCTGAGAGCCCCTCCTCTGTTGAAGGGCTATCCCAGGAGAGTAGGGGTGAGGTTTCAGATACATCTCTGCTCCTGTGATGTGGAGACTAGTTTTCTCTTTCTTCTTTTCATCTTCTGATGTTTAGCTTCCAGACACACCCAACACAAAACCAATGTGAAACAGCACTTGTGAGCCATTATAATCCCCACAGACTGGGTCTGGGCCTGTATTTGAGGGAGATGACCCTATGTCACCCGAAAACCTCACTTAAGAGTTGCTGGCTTGATTCCTTACTGATTTCTTGCTAAGCAACCAGAACATAAACTTTGCATTTTATCTCTATTTCATCTCACCACTCCCTCACACCCAGACCTAACGGCTTAGAGCAATATTAGAACCAACATGGTATTTATCAAAATATCCTGGGAGAGTAGGGTTCTGGTAAGTACAATGAGAGCTAGTTACAGGGACTGAATGCTCCAGGGAGCATTAATCATGGTATCTGAGTGCATTTGTGGGAGCACATTGTAAACTAATTGCCATGTATGGAGCTCACTCTATCATTACCTTTAATATACAATTTCACATACAATACAACTTCTGTTTTGTTGCTTTCACATTACTGTAGACACACTCTAAGGTGTGTTTCAGCTTTAAAAATGTTAGATATAAAAGTAAAAAAGACAGGCAAGAGAAATATTTTTGATGAATGATAAATGTATCTGCCTAATAGAACCTTTGGATCATAGGAGATATTCAATAGCTTTTTCCTGACTAAAGAAATATGGAAAAAATAAGTATTTTTTTAATCCTGGCTTGATCTACTGCTAATTTGCCTGCTAACCAAGGGCAAGACATTGCCCTCCTTAAACATAAACTGACAAAAGCAGCAGCAGCAGCAGCAGCAGCAGGAGGAGGAGGAGGAGGAGGAGGAGAAGGAGAAGAGAAGAATAGGAAGAAAGGGGAGGGTAGGGCTCAGGGAGGAGGAGGGAGAGGGAGAAGGAGTATGAGGAGGAGGGAAAAACTCCACTTTGCTCGGGATATAACATCAACTTACCTCAGAAAATTTCTTGGAAGAAACTCTTAAGTTTTTCTATTGTTAAAACAATATGTCAGTAAAAGACCAAGTAGAGATTAGCTTTACTTCTCAAATTAGAAATTCCAGCTGTTATGTTTAAAAAAAAAACATGTTTGTATCTTCAATACCACTTCTCCATGAAATGAGCTCTGGAATGTAGATTAAAAAAACACTACTTTCTCATAATGTTTGCACCCCAGTGGGGGAAGTAGACAAGCCAACCAACCAATCTTTATAAAATGAGAATTAAGTGCTGGATAGAGATGTGCATGAGGTGTGAAAGCAGGGGTCCCACCAGTTAGACCGAAGGAGAAATGGCAGCTGAAAGCAAAGGCTCCACAGGGAAGTGACCTTTGAACTGGAGAACAAATAAGTAGTGGGCCAGAAACAGAAAGGCATTCCAATCCATGACAACGGTATAAGTATAGGTGGGAAGAGGAAGGAGTTGAAGATGTTGACGTTTTTGGAGAAACTAGTATACTTTGGACTGAAGAAGATCTTTTAAGGAAAGAGAAGAAAAGAACATCAGGAAAGACAAGAGGTTTGCTAATGAAGAGTCACTTGTGTCCTGCTAAGCACTTTGTCTCGCATCCTCAACTCTATGTTGATTTTATTTTATTTTATTTTAATAAATATTTAATAGTCTACTTTAACTCAGTCTTAGAAAAAGAAATAGAACATATATTGTATACTACAGCCAGCAATGTATTTTCATTTTTTAGGTCCAGCATAGTCAAATAATGGCAATTTCTTATAATTCAACCTGTTCTATAAAATATACATGAAGGTCACAAAACAGAATTTTGGTAGATTATAAGTTTGGTCCCAAGAAATATATTAGCTCCAACATGTCTCTAACTTTTTATTTAATGACCACATTGCTTGCCTAATTTAGAAATGCTCTTTGGGATAATTTGGATGACAGTCTTAGAAGGCTTGGATTACATATTTTTTAAATTTTATTTTATTTATCGTCGTAAGAACACTTAACATGAAATCTAACCTCTTAACAAAATTTTAAATGTTCAGTAGGACTATAGGTACAATGTTATACAGCTAGATCTCTAAATTATTCCTCTTGCTTAAATGAACTCTATGGCCATTGATTAGTAACTTCCCATTTTCTCATCTCCCCAGCTCTTGGCAACCACTGTTCCACTCTTTGATTCTGTGAATCTGACTACTTTAGATGCCTCATATAAGTGGGCTCATGCAGTGTCTTTCTGTGACTGGCTTATTTCACTTCGCATAAAACTTTCATTTCCTTTGCTCTTGGTATCCATGAACTCACTAACAAGACCAATGTCATGAAGCTTTTCTTCTAGGAATTTTATAGTTTCAGGGCTTATTTAAGTCTTAAATCTATTTTGAGTTGATTTGTGTATGATGTAAAATAGAAGTTCATTTGAATTCTTTTGCTTGTGGATATCCAGGTTTCCCAACACCATTGGATGAAGAGACTACCCTTTCCACATTGTATATTCTTGGCACCCTTTTTGAAGATCGGCTGACTGTTTATGTGTGGATTCATTTCTGGGCTCTCTATTCTGTTCCATTGGTCTGTACATCTGTCTTCATGCCAGTACCATAATGTTTCAATTATTATAGCTTTGTGATATAGTTTAAAATGAAGAGGTATGATGTCTCCAGCTTTGTTCTTCTTTATCAAGATTTATTTGGTAACTTGTGGTTCCATATGAATCTTTAATTTGTTTTTTCTGCTTCTGTAAAAAAATGACATTGGGATTTTAATAGGGATTGCTTTGAATCTGTAGATGGCTTTGGGTATTAAGTCTTCTAATCCATGAACACATATCTTTCTTTGCATTTGTTTGTGTCTTGTTTAATTCCTTTCATCAATGTATTATAGTTTCCAATATATAAATCTTTCACCACCTTAGTCTTACTCCTAAGTATTTTATTCTTTCTGGTCTATTTTTTATTGCATTGTTTTCCTAATTTCCTTTTCAGATAGTTCATTTTTAGTGTATGGAAACACAACTGATTTTTCATGCTGATTTTGTATCCTGAAACTTTACTATTTGTTATTTGTAGTAGTTTTTTGTTTTTGTTTTTAGTAGAGTGTGTAGGGCTTACTATATGTAAGATCATTATGTTTGCAAACAGGAACAATTTTAATTCTTCTTCTCTGATTCAGATGTCTTTTATTTCTTTTTCTTGCCTAATTGCTCTGGCCAGGTCTCCCAATACTTTGTTTTGTAGAAGTGGCAAAAGCAGGTATCCTTGCCTTGTTCCTGATCTTAGAGGAAAACTGTTCAGTTTTTCAGCATTAAGTGTGTTGCTAGCAGCAGGTTCTTCATAAATGGCCTTTA